TAATGATGCAGCAGCCCCGCCATCCAAACAGCCGCCGCACTCAACACCGCACAACAGCCTGCAAGGAGCCCAACAACTGCCGCAATAGAGGAATGCAACCTCAATGAGTAGTAAGGCACCCAGCCACAGAGCTACGAAATGGCTAGGTGCGCAGAGAGACGGAGTACGGAAGTCCCCTTCGTCAACGCATCATCTGCAGTTAAACCTTCAACTGCCCATAGGTAGGCTCCCCGCACGGCCCCTGCAACAGACCGATGGCGTAACCGTTGTGCGGTCCGAGGCTGGCGCCCACTAAATTGGGCTAACATCAGCTATGAAACGAACCGGGCATCAACCACCCCTGCTCATGCTGCACCCATACTGTGTCCACAAAGAACACCGTGTCGCCGGTTTTGGCTCCTCCTATGCCGAATCGAGCCCATCCTTCCCGCTGTCGACAGATTCCCTCTCTCTCTCTCTCTCTCGCTCACCACTCGTTCACTATCTACCGCTGCTCCTCTGCTGGCCGCCACCGCTCGCCCGCTGGCCACCACTGCTCGTCCGCCGGTTACTCCCGATACTAGGAGGGGAAACACCGAATGAACTTCCCGTTAGAGCACGGAACTGTACAATGTTCCTTACGCATGCGCACACCCATCACAGGTAAGTCCCCGGACCGTGGCTCACCCCTCCCCCCCCGCTACTTCCTTGAAGTCAAAATGAATCTTTCCCTACAACGTGGGAAGATTCACAGCCATCCCTTCAGGCAGAAAATTTTCCCGTTGCCACCGCACAGCTGCTTTCTCTTCTAGTTGCTAAACTAACACCTTACCACCAAAATTTCCACTGCCATCGTGCTCGCGATGGCTATAAATCCCGGAATCCTATCTTTCCCCACTCGATTCCAACCACAATCGAGTAACACTCATCTCCCTACTCCCGATATCTCTCCCCCCACCATAGCTCGTCACATCCCTTTTCTTACTAACCTTTCTTTCCATTGATTCTCTTCCAAAGTAACTTCGCATTCTTATTCGCCCCGCTCCAAAACCTTAGCTTGGCATCTCAGTTTGCTCGATTCCGTTATGAATTGAGTAAACTAAGCAATTATCAATCCCCCATCACCACCATTCTTCCCCATCTTCACGCATCAACTTTCTTCCTTACCTCTAATCCTACTAACCTAGCACCCAAACTAACCTCATATTCTGGCTCGCAGCCACCAGAAACCTCCGTTTTCAGTCTTCCCTCACCCATTTTCATGAAGAAACGGGTGAGATCTCAACTTTACTCCTTCTCCTCGTCTCGCCCATCGCCATATCCGCGCGGTACTTTCTCTACCATCTGCCTAATCTACCACTTTAGGACCAAAGCTAACATCAAATTCATGATCGCCATAGCAGAAAACATTAGGATTAGCTCCTTGTTTTCCCGTTCCCCTTTAGAAACGGGAAAGAACCCGTTCACTTCCGCCATGCCTGCTTCACGTTAGCTCCGATGCCTTCCTCTGAATGCACCTGGCGCAAGTCTGCGTCCAGGTTCATCCTGTTTTCGTGGCTGCAGCCACCGACATCCCTACGCTGTTCCCTTGCCTCGTATGCTCCCGTCGTGCTTCTTTCCCCGACTCTGATTCCAAGACTAACTTCACTATTGGGTTCGCCCTATTAACAAATCCCCAAAATCGCATGCTTCCCCGCCCGATTCCATCAAGGAACGGGCGATTCCTCTTCTCTCCGCCCATCTACCGCCATCCGCTGTGTGCTCCGCATGCATCTATCCCCATGCCCCGTCCCGATTCACTTACCTTTTCTTTTCTTCCCTCCTACTGCTGCCTGCTTTCTCCGCCTCGCTGCCTACTCTTCAGTACTCCCCATACTACTGCGGGCGCTGACTATACACAGGCGGCGACAATATTCACGGGTATCAGAGATCCGCTAGGGAGTGGGTGCTAGCTCATGAATCCGATCAAGATTGCAAAAAAAAAAAAAAACGGGAGCGCGCAAACCGTGCGCAGGTGATACTCGGCCACCGGCCGAAACTTCAGCTACGACGATCAGAGGGAGGGCGATATTGGCCCAACTGCAATCCCTACAGTACTGACCTGGGCCAAAATGGTCCCGGTGTTGATCTTGGTAATAGTTGCAGATATCCTGTCCACCTTTATCTGTAGCTCGCCGCCCTCCCTTAGTGCCCTTGGTCTATAACGCTGCGGCGCCCTGCCTATGCCCATCGCCCTCTTGCTATCCCGAGGGAAACCTCGGAGGAAACTTACTGCCGTTCATAGAGGGGGGGAACCGGAGGTAAGGAACAACGACTGGCTCATCGAAAGGCTCAGTCCTGGTGCCACCGGTCGACTCCTGGCCGGTATCACCCACCTGCTACGGCAGATGTCGTCCCTACTGGTGGGTGCAGCTCCCGCGTGTCCCCTCGTTGGGAGCTTGAGCACGTATGTGGCTGCTACGAGGTTCCCCGAAATACTGTAGAGGGGTAACTTCGACTTAGTCTCAAAAACAGTTTTGAAGTCACACTTCGGGCAATTCCTGCAAACACAACATGCCCCCACGAGGCCTCACAAAACCCGAAGCGTAGGGCGTATACATTCGGCATTACCGACCCTTTCGCCTCAAGTGCAATTATAAACTCAGTCCTGACCTCGTCGTGGTTTTTCAGCCAAGGCGTAAGGGAGGACTTTTTGCCAACACCCCAAACACGCGGACCCATCAAAATGGGGCACGCACTCAAGGTCCTCGACTGCCGTGACGACCATTAGATCCGGCGCCTCGTCCAAGTCAACGGCCCGCCGGGGTATAAAAAAAATACGACACTTAGAATAAAAATTAATTAGAAAAAGCCACCACCAATCGGACGCTGCCATTGTCAGAAACCAAGGGGGATAGCCTCACGGCCCTCAACCCCATCGGCTCCCTCCTCGATGCTCCGCTGCCGCTACGTCGGCGCCTGCTGGGCCTCGATCTCCGAACCTCTGTAGTGGTAGTCCGATGCCGTAACCTATAGGGCTAAGCCAATGCCTGATACCAGCGCCCGCAGAGCGTCATACAAGGCAGTGCGGCGCGACGCTTTTATCCAACAAAACTGGCTGCGCGGCTCCCAGTGCCAGCGCCGGCTTGTTCTTACCGTGCCATAGTTGCCCCGCGCGCCATCCTACACTCCCCGTTCACCGCACGAAGTCGCGCCGTCATCGGGGTCGTTCTCCGCACACGCGCTTGACTCGGCCAAATGTACCAAAAGGAAAATATCCTTAATTCCTGCTTAATAAAAAAAAAAATAATAATAATATCACCAAGCAAAACGACCGAGGTCCGAGCCGACTCTTACGATCAACAACAGAAAAGAATCACGGACGCTTTAAACCTGCGCGCTCACGCACTCGCTATTGTGGTCAACCACCCAGTCAACGCAATTACAGACGCAGCCGCGCTTAGCGCGGTATACTTAAATTCTAAACCAAAACCGTTTTTCTGTTACTTGCAAAAACCAGGGCGGATACCCTTGTAAGGGTATTCGCACCGACAGCCTTACCGGACCATATTAAGCGACGTCCCCGTCGCTTCGCCAAATCTGAAAGCTATAAATTCATTCACACTCCAAATGCTGACGAAAGAAGTGAGCCAATCCGATTAGCTGATAAACACAGGGTAGAGGCCTCCATCAAACCACGCCTCCACAACTATATGCTGCCAGGTTTCGAACCCAGGCCTCTTACTGCCTAGAAATTAGGACGCTGACAACATAAGTTCCAAAGAGCTTCCCAATCGTCCTCTCCCTGGTCCTAGACAACCTTCGGCTTCTCGTTAGGTGTCCCTAGTCCTGGCAAAAACTAGGGACGCGGGCCTTAACTGAGACCTTTGAAGGCACTATCGCCTTCCTTCTCAAAATCTCTCGCAATCAAATACACATAAGTATATATGTAAACTTAATATCCACTCCGCTCTTTCTGCAGTCTACTACAGAAAAGCCAGGTCTCCATCTTGGCCCACCATAGCCTGATTGATCGGACCAGGACTACGGGCCACCGCATTGTTATTTAATGGCAGTACCCTCGTTGGTTACGCAACGATAGGGTTTCTCCTGATAAGCACTCAATCAGGACCTCCCAAAATCTCGACCTTCACTATCCCACAGAGTAATTTCGCTGGGGCGGGTAACTCCCCTTAAACTCTTACCCTGCGGTCCCGGAACCAGGTTGCGCCGGCTAGCAGCCATCCAATGGGGTTACGCCCTAGAGGTACTAACTTATTTTTCGTTAGCTTGGCGTTTCTTCAATATATCTCAGAATTAGCACCAGTGGTTAAACGGGTGCGTCACAAAACAAAATCACAGGCCCACTGCGCGATACGCAGGGGTCCGAAGGCATTTAACCAGCCCTCCCTCAATAGGCATGGCATCCTTCGTACGCTTACAAACAAAATCACCGCTAAATCCACCAGGCCGTGACCCCTGACTTGATCAGAGCCAGCAGCCACTCACCCTGAGACATCTCTCGCCCTGCACTCATTGCGACTTTTTCAAACATTCCAAAGAGTGACCCTTTTTCGTCAGACTTTATCACTCATCAGGCAACTTACCATGTCATTAATCAGTTTACTCACCTTTAAAGATGAGTCTCCCAACAACAAAACATCCCTTTTTTTTTCCAAAAATCCAAAGGGCTCTCATCATAAGCAAAAACACCCCCTCTTCCAAAAATCACGAGGGGTCTCGCCACAAAACAAAACACCCCCTCTTCCAAAAATCACGAGGGGTCTTATCATAACCCATATTGTCACAAAAGCATCCCCTTCTCCAAAATCCAAGGGGGCTTATCATAAACAAAATCAATGAGAGACCATCTTATGGGTCCTCATCACAACTTAGGCATTCAATAATCAACATGATAGGCATTTTAAGCCTCCTGGGTTCATAAATCTTCAAATCCTCACAACCTTTCACAGACGGACTGCACTTCCTCCTCTTATACTCCGCCCTATCAGCTGCCCATGGGCAAGTCGCACAAGTATACCGAGGAGTAGACAGTTTTACTTACAATCATATTCACAATACCTAAGATACATAAAAGGTTTTTCACAAATTGTCGACACAAACTCATTATACATTAGAGTACAACCACACATGTGAGAGAGACAAGTGATCATTACATATAAGAATGGTCCCTGAAGGAAACCTCATCATAATATACACTCAGGGGGTACAATGTCTCACACAGAAAGTGTCTCCAAATCATAGCTTGCTTAACTCAAGCCACACCAAACCCACACTGACAACTATCCCTAGAATACATGTCAAATTTGTCTCTCAAAGGCCAGGGCGTAGGCCACCTAAATATGTACATGCCTCATCTAAACCACCCTGACCCTCAAAACCCCAACTCAGTAGGAACACAAAAGTTCAAATCTACACTAGTAGCAATCATCAAAAAGATCCTCTAAGTCTAAGAGGGTATCACACAGACCCTAAGCTGATGCCTCACAAGATACTCGCCCACCTATATAGACAAACCGGCACTATCTCCTCAATTCCTCCTGGTTTTGCCTATATAACTGAGTCCTAAGTCCATATGCGGACTTCTCTACTATCCTACCCTGTCTATCATACATCTTACCCCCTGCCTCTGAGACCTTTCCTGTTGCCTTATCCTCAAGGAACTCGAGACAGTCCAGAGCATAATGCACGCTCCTCCTGCAGTAGAAACATAGCTGATCAACCTTTCTCTTGAACTTCTTCTTCCTGGGCTGAAGAGGTGGTGATGAAGGAGATCCTGCCAAGGTACTGACAACCCCCTGCTGTTCTGCTTGAGGAGTTGCGGTACTAACGACCTCCTGCTGCTCTGTCCTAGGAACCGGTCCCCCAGACCCAGATCCTGTAGCCCAAAACCCCAGTCTGCTCCTCAAATCCCCTGTCACTGGGACGTACTCAGGTGTGTCCAACCTCTGAGGTTTCTTCTCGAGTGTCTCTCCTGGCACTGCCATGGGCTGCTCCTCAATCCCCTCTGGCTCATACTCAGGCGTGCCCATCCTCTGGAGCCTGCTCTCGATGACACTCTCTGCCTCAATCCCTATCTCTCTCTCAAGAGGCTCCTCTATCCTCTGCTCAGGTGAAAACAAACTCACCTCCTCCTACATAGTATGCACCGCCTCAAGGAGCACGCCCATGGATCCCTCTGCCGAGCCCTGAGCCGGCTCACTGCTAGATGGTGGCAGCCCCTCCTCTACTGCCAAAGGTACGACTGGGCCTGCCGCCGCCACGGGCAGCGTCACGAGCTCAGTAGGGGCTCTAAACTCGAACGCCTTTCTCTCTGCCTGTCTCTGGGCTCTCGCCTCCTCTGGCTCCAGGATAACTCTCCTCATGGGTGGCTCCTGGCGAGGCTCTGCTGCAGATGGCTGTCCTGGCAATCCCTGTCCTGGCTGCCTCTGCTCTCCCTGCCTGCTGCTCTCTGGCCTGTCCACCCTTCCCTGGGTTTGCTGCCTCAGGCTCTCGATGATAGCTGCCTGGCTGGCCACCAAAGCCCTGAGTTCCTGAATTTCCATCTCCATAGCCTCCAGGCGTACTCCATGACTTGCTTCCTTCATCTTCTTCCCTATCAGATCGCCCTCCAATAACAAGTGCCGGTCAAAAGTGGTATTGGCCAGGAACTTGATTTTACGATCTAACCTCTCTTCCGCCTTCCTGGCCACCCCAAACCCGGCTCTGACTGGCGATAGAAGTTCCTCTCCTCTCTGCTCCCAGAAGTCTCTCCACATCTCAGGAATCTCCGGGGCCCTAGCTGGC